GCCTGCACGCCCCATTATACAGGTTCTAATTTAAATAAAATGAAGGATAGCAAACGGACGGAGTGGCAATGCTTGCGTTCAACTTTGCCTTTATGCTATGGCTGCTGAACGCAGGTATGGACTGACATTAAGGAAAAGGCAAAAATCGGCGATAAATATCTGCCGGCCGATGTATCAGTCTGCCTCTACTTAGAGTTGCACTAACTAGATAAGGGTTTTTCAACCATGGTCCTCAAGGTACACTGCCCTGCATGTTTAACATGTTTCCCTGCATGAGTACACCTGATTCAGATAATTGCAATTCAGCCAAACTTGTTAATCTGCTATCAATTGATATCAGGTGTCTGAAAGTTGGGGAACATTCCAGACATGCCGGGAAGTGTCCCTTTTAGACCAAGGCTGAAAAACACTTAACTAGATGAAGCTGCTACAGGCAGAGCATTACCTCTCTAAAAGCTTTACCAAGTGTTTTCCTCACCCTGCATTTAATGCCATTCTTCTCTCCATTTACTCTGACCAGTATCACCACCTCTGCTGATGAAAAGCATCCCCTTATCATGATGCTGCTGCCACCATGTTTCACCAGGGAGGTGGTGTGTGCAGTGCTGGTTTTCAACCACAAATTTTGTTTTGGAGATCGGGAGGGGATCGCTGCAGCTCCTCTCAAGCTACTAATTCTGTCCATGTAATGCTTGTTAACTTGTACCGTTAGCCACAGTTTGGTAGATTTGCTTCATTGCCATTTTGATAGTGAACAGTGCTCAGTGAGGCCAAAGCCTGGGAAATCGTTCTATAACCTCATCCAATTTTAAAATTCCCCAGAGTGTTCTCCCTGAGCTGCTAGCTGTGCTCCTTGGTTAATTGACATGCTGGTAAAATGAGTCACTAATTAGGGGACTTCTGAAAGAAGGTTATCGTTAAAACTGAGAACCTTCATCAGCAGTTATCGTTAAAGTTTGAACCAAATCATTTCAGAAAAAATTAACATGGACTCAGAGCACAACAAACGGTTTTGAATGGGTCTGTAACGATTCTTTTCTTTCCTCGCTAATAGTTATCACATAGCTGGTGTTAATCTATCAAAAATCATCAGAAACTTTCAATAAGGCTGTTTGGCAATATGAGAAAACTGGAAAGGAATGGATGCTTTTACAAGACGGTGTACAGCCACCATGAAAGATTTAGCTTAAAGTCAGATCTCTTTGCTTTTCTTAGTGGAAAACTAAACCTCAAAATAATTTCAACGTTATATAAAAGCCTGTAGAAATATAGCTGCACCTGAAAAAAAACTGAATGATATACAGGTAGATCTAAATAAATTTAAAAAAGCAATTAGAGAAGGCATTTTTAAAATAACCTTTAATGTATCAAACAAACTTAGCATTTAGTCATATTTTTGTATTAATATTTTCCTTTTCATCTGATTTCCTATTCCAGTCTTAAAATGTGTCATTTTCATCAGGACAATGGTAACAGAAAAATGGGCTCGAAAACTACCAGGCTGTCTGTTTAATCTACGCCATTTTTTTCTATAAGGGGTTGTTCACATTGTTCAACACTTTATAAAACTGCTCTTTTACCATCACTGATCTGATTCAACCAACAAATGACGGCTGTTACGTCTTCTCCTTACTGTGGTTTCTGTGCGCCTTGTGGTCCCATCATCCCCCGTCTCCACGGAGATCACCGGGGGCAACTCCTGAGGTTCCTCCACTGTGAACGTCTCCTGCATCATTTGACCAGGGTCCATCCTGAACTGCATGCACATGTGCACAAAGTTTGACATTAAAGTTACATTTAGTCCTTATGTTTCAAGCTATAGGAGAACAAAGGGAAGATATGATCTTGTTTTTAATATACCAGCTTATTTTATTGCCTGAAGAGAAAAAATGAAGCCTTTTATTAATGAGGGTTAGAGCAATACATGCAGTTTGGAACAGATAATTATTTTCTCCACTGTTTGGTTAGTTAAGAACCAGAGAGAATATCTAAAATCTGCAGAACGCACTTATATTTTCTGTAAGTCATCACTCTCTGACAATGAAGTCATTAATCAACAAAAAAGAATCAGGCAGAGATTCTTACATGATGCGTCCCGTTAATGTAACCCTCGTTCAGCGTCAGCCTTTCTAGGTCTGCATCACAAGGAATGCGGCCGTTCTGTTAAAACAAAAAGGTACATCAGCAAATGAAACAGCTGAATTAGGCAAACACGGCTCCATGCTGGTAGCTACTGAGCAGCTAGCCTTTCTTATCCAGAAAAACAAGGAAGATTTGAAAGTGAAAGAAGTGACTACATTTGGACGTCAGCCACAGTAGCTCAGTGAAGCTGAATATAATTCAAACATAGCTGCTGCTTAAAGTAAATACAGTTGTGAGACGTACTTCCTCATCTCCTGCATTACACTGATGCCATTACCAGACGAACCTAAACAAACACTATGTTTGAAAACACATGAAAGTCAAGATAAAATAGTTACGGTTTCTACAGTCAAGAAGGTACAAAATCTTGAGCCCAAAGATAGAATTTAGTTACTTTACAACCACAAAGGGATCTTTAATGGGATTTTCAAGGTCAAAGCAAAATAAAGCTGTATGTGTGGTTTAACAAAGAAAATTAGAAACTGACCGTTATCCATTTTTTTTAGCCATCATGGGTAATGAGCTGCCTTTATAGGCAGTTACTGCTGACACACTGACCAGCTTTGGATGTTTAAATATCAAATGCATTTTTGAATTGAATTGGTAACAGGTCTGGGCTTTAACTAGGCCACTCTAACAAATGAATAAACTTATACCTAAACGGAGCCCTGCTGTCTGTTTGCTGCTGCTGTTTTTCTTTGAATATAAAACTTTGCCCCGATCCAAAGTTTTATTGACCCTCTATCGAGTTTACGCTACATAAAATGGCAATAAAAACACTGAAGACTGTAGTTGAAAGGAGAAGGAAAATGAAAGAGATATGCTTTTGCAGTACACTGATCATCCAAAGTATATGAATAAATATGCGACAATGAACAGATGATAAATGGAGAATTGGTTAGTAATGAAACACAGATCATGAACAATGTGCTTATAACCATTTAAAAACGAGATTCTTAATCAGATAAAGTGAGAAACAGGACAGAAATAAGCCGCTGTTGGCTGAAAACAATCACAAGCTATCGTCAGATTACCAGCACACACACACACACACACACAATTCAGCTCAGATTAGGAGAGACGGGTAGAAGAGAAAAAGGTGGGCAGATGCAGACATGTGGATTCATGTCAGTATAGACTGATATTGTGTTGCGTTGCCTTTGGAGAGTAGCAGAGGCATGCTGAAGCCTTCAGGCAATGTAAACACAGAGCAAAGATGGGGGCAACACAACCTTTCTGACCTGCACACTCACTGTTTAGAATTCTGCGTTAAAGACGGCACATAGTGACTAAATTACCTGAAACTGATTCATCTTCCAATAAAGGCGTGCCTACAGTAAGGTTAAGGTAAATAGATGATTGCTTAAAAGGTTCCCTGAGGGTGAAGAAGTGTGTCAATCTGTTCCTCTACACCAATAGCTTCAATAAGAAAGTGAAAGAATAAGGAGCGTCTACATGGCGGCCGTACTTGGAACCAAGTAACCGACTCACCAAGTGACTGATAAGAAAAACTGTGACATACTTCAGACGGGATTTTCTGTTGGCTGTTACCTAATCAGGGGTAACTCTCCCTTCTCCAAACCTATTCCAGTAAGGAAGATAACATGTAAGGGAAACAAACGTAAACCAGTACTGTTAACAAACCTAACTTAAAGTGAGACAAAGCTCTGCATGCATGGACATGTCAGGACAGGGTGACTCCTGACAGCTGGAGGCGGCAGCCATGAGAAGAAGCTTGTTGTTGAATGACATACAGATGGTAAGCAGCAACAACAGAGGTTAACATCACCTTATTTAGACAGACTTTATTAGACAGTATTAACTAAATCAGCTGAAGACTTTGGAGTCATTTCTGCTTTTGCCCATCGTTTGGTCTGCTGCCATCCAGCAAGTGAAGGTGATGATGATGATGATTATTGCTTCGGATCAAAAGGGAGGAATCCGAGGAGCGTTTGGATGGAAAATGAGAATGAGGGTAGTGCTGGTAGTAGGGGCGGTGGTTGGGGCGGCATTACCTGCATGTTGGGGAGGGGGCGGGGCAAGGTGCCGGCACACGACCTCCGCTCCTCCTCCAGAGCTCGACTCAGCATCTCAAACTGCCTCTCCTGCTCCCGGACGGAGGCCAGCAGGGAGGCTGTACTCGCACACTGCTCCATTCACACACTGAGAGCAGAGCACAGGACAGGACAGGACAAGACCGTCACCACAGGGCAGAGAGACAGATTAATCCAACACCAGGGTTTAATCAGAGAACAGACAGAAAATCACCAAAGCACAGACACGGATTAAAGGAGCAGAGCTGTGACGCAGCCTGCAACAGGGGATCTCAACAGTAGAGAGGTGATAATCAAGTTTACACTGAGCAATTAGAAAGCAGCAGGAAAATAAAGCAGAGAAATAAAAAAAAATATATAACGTTTTTTTTTTTTAGAAAATGGCAAGCAGAGATCTCTAACAGAATGAACCTAAAGCAATTCAAGGCTGGTTCAGGATCAGCAAAGGATTCATGGCAGAAAGTTTCCTGTCACATTACATCCTCTCTTCACCTACTGCTTAGCAGGCTTAAAATTAGAAGGTGAGAAGAAGGAGAGGAGGGAAAAGCAGCACTTTTCAGCAGCAGCATGTGGAGCTTGTTAGCACTTTCACCTTAAAATAGCAAGGATGCCAAAAGGAGAAAAAATGTGAGAGCAGCCAGACGGGATGTGAGTTTTTTAACTTTTTAAATAAGAATCAGTATTACAGTGAAAAGAAAACTAAACATAAACTTAAAAAAAACAACATGTTGAAATTAATTTACCATGAGTAAACTCTAGATCAGTGGTTTAAAGTTACTGGAATCTATCAATGATGGTGAAGATGTACTCATCTTTTCTCCAGAAGCTCATTGTACACCCACAGAGGATTACCTTCATAACTGTGAAAAATATATATGAGTTTTAAGTGTCCAACCAGCTGGTTAATCCTGATTGGCTGGTGCATCTCTACATTTAAACTTTAATCTGTGTCAAAACAGCCAAACCCACAGAAAGAGAAAGTTTTCTGAGCCTCTTAAAGCAAAACAAAGAATTTAATAAGTTGAGTTTGGTGTGGAAAATTAAGCTGCATCCAGTCAACAAATACAGAGAGATATTACTTTTAGTGTTTTGAATGACTGCAAGAAAAAAAACAAAAAAATCTCCAACACTCTGCAACCATAACTGTGGTTAAAAATGAGCCTCTCAGGATCCAGATATTACTGAATGAAGCTGATCTTTCAGACTGTCCTCTAAAGGTTGGGAGATTTTGTCAGCTTCTTTGTCTCTGCTCCCCAACCCTTTTTTGGACTTCCTGACACACAATACTTTAAAACTAAATGAGACATGATACAGCGTTTTACAGCAACCCACTGAGCTACATTACTGTACGAGTAATAGGGGCAATCAATCATGCCATATGCACTCAGTTTACCATGTAGCCACAAAGAAAATATTTGGAAAAAAAAAAAAAAAAAAGACATGGTTGCTTAGGAAAAAAGCAAAATAAGTAGTTTTCTTCTATTAAAGAAATGTGGACTTTAAAAAAAAAAAGAAAAACAGAAGACGCACCCCAGATGGAATAAACCTAAATTAGAGGCCAGTCCGGCCCAGAGCAGGAACACCGTCACCCTCAGAAGGGAGGCCAGCGTAGGAGGCCAGAGGAATCTGAAAGAGCGTTACTTCAGCACAGACTAATAAAAGGATGACATGAGCATGGCTCATCTCCAAAAGAGGGCAAAAATCATTTTCTGATTCAAAGTTCACTGACTCATGGTTCTAAAACCTCCTCTGGCCGCATATAGGAAACCGTCCAAAGGAACAAAGACTCCAGTATCGGTGAGGTGGATGTACGCCAGTGTGAGTGTGTGTTCCTATCTGAACATGTGTATGTGGGTCAGGGACACTAAATAAAATGGCAAGTGTGTATACATGTTCCTAACATTTATCTTATATTCAAATACTCCCAACAGGGGAGCGGCAGCTTCTGGAGATGTCAGAGGAGAACAACCTCCTTCCATTTATAAATAGTAAATAACCAAAGAAAACAAAAACAAAAGGATATTTGTGATCGAAGGTGAATTGGAGCTGCAAGAAAAACACTCTTGTAGCAGCATTGTCATACATTCCAGAGCACGATTTAGCGTGTTATATCCTGTCTCAGCTGTTTGGAGCCGTCCCACAAAAGGAGTCCATGGCTCCTGCCTTACGCTGCTCTCATGTCTCTGAATTCTTCTCCTAAACATAAAACCTGGATACAGGAACCATGTGCTGTCTCACTGGTGGAACGTGTTAAGATAAGTTAGCTTAAATTTATCTCCAAAATAAGACAAAGGCGCTTCTGTTGAAAAGGTTGATGGTAGCAGCTGTCGGGTGTCGCCTTTAAGATCAAATAAGCCTTTTGGAAATGTGACTCCTTTCAGCATCAGAGTTAAAAAAAAACAAAAAAAGAAAAAAAAAAAACTAAGAAATCTGCTATTTTTAAAGTATCTTTTAAAGCATTCAGGGGTGTTTTATTTGTTATTCTGGGTCACTGTTAGTTGCAGTAAAAAAATAAAAATTAAAAATAAAATAAAAATGTATTATGATCAATACCTACGTTTGCTTTCCGGTGATAGCAACCAGAGATTACTGTTGAAGTTCTGCCCCAACAAAACCAGGCTGGATTCAGCGGATGATGGGAAGATAATCATTCATCCCGCCAAATGCTGTCAGTGTTTTCACATTTCTCAAATGACTATTTTAACTATTAGTAAGCACATATTTGCCTATCATCATTGTGCTAAAATGTATCATTGGACAAAGAAATGAAAGGTTTTCAGTTTGTTTCATGTGGTTTATAAATACTCCTAAGTAATAATTACAATATATATATAGATTGTTTTTTTTTTGTTTTTTTTTTATTTTTATTAAATAGCACCAATTCATAACACACGTAATCTCAAGGTACATAATCTCCTGTCCATTTCCATCCGCTATCTAAATAAAGGCCACTGGTGTCAAACTAAGAAAAGACCAACTTTGGAAAAATGTGTTGCCAAAAAAAAACAAAAGGTGTGGAAATTTTATGATCAATACTGAATCTGTCTTAAATGGGAGAACAGTGTCTCACCATGTGGGTAGGCTACAACCATGACTACTTGGTCTGACTTATTATAAACAAATGTCATGCTCTCATGCCTGTACAATAGGTATAATAGTTTAAAAGAGTATGAAGCTCATTATTTATTTATTTGTTTTATTTGTTAAATGATGCTTTAAACAGATTTAATTAATCAGCACCTTTTCGACCCTAAGCAACACAATTTATTTAAACCAAAGTAATCGGTACATGTTATTCACTCTAACTTTAATTGTGTGTCCACACTAACATCCTGGGTTAACTCCATCCAAAAATGCTACGCCAATCAGATGCAGACCCAAACCTGGTGAATACTGACACTGCATCTGAAAAACTGTTTCCTGGTCCTTCCTTTCTAAACTAGAGCGCTCCACTACCAAACTCTGACAGTCTTGTAGAAAGGCCCATGTAGCTGTAAAAGCTGTAAATGACGTCTGCCACATAAAGCCTTGGAATCAGCCATTGTACTGCTGTGAAGCCATTAGCTGATGCATTATAGCTGCTAATGGAGGAGCACAGCAATCACACAGAGCCATTAACTTCTAAAAGAAGCAATACACCACATCAAAAATGAAAATACAGCCCCCATTTGTTGCTTAGAAGACCATAGTTGTGCCTTTTGTGCTCTCCTCAATCATCCTCTGCCATCTCCTCTATTTCAATCATTTAGACATTGGTGGCTGCGGCAGCCTGTTCCAGTCTGCAGAACCCCAGGCTAAAACCACAGCTGAAATGCCGCTGTGGCTTGGACACTGCTGACTCAACTTCATCTGAATGGTCGCTCGGAGATGCAGAATACACCCTGTGTGTTTTGTGCCATAACCTTGGCCAAAATCCAGCCGGTCCCACCTATACTGTCCTGACAAGAAACCACAAGGGGCCCACAGCCCCCTGCAATGTTGAGACCAAAAAAAAAAAGTGCATGTTTTAAACCCCAGGAACTCACATCTAGTGTTTCAGGAGCCTTTGCAAGGCCAGCTGTCCTTTAAAGACAACACAAGCCCTGTTATCTCAGTTGGGAAGGAAATGAGCAGCCTTGTCTGCATGTGAAATGTAACTATAAAAAATAAAAAAAAGAGAGAGAGACAAGGGAAAACACATTCAAATACAAGGTCAACTGGAAAGATAACCTCATTTTATATTTTTGTTGGTGTTCCAAATGCTTTTTATTAAAAGACGATAGCTTTTAAATGAAATTATTTATCATCCAATCCCAGTTAAGTGTTTTTTTTTAAGTTGGTGCCTCACTGAATTAAAATAGAATAAAGCAATTGCTAAACATTCAAAATACTCATGGGGCAAAATATAAAATTCTGAGCATAATGATAGTTAATTTCAAACTGGAGTTAAAGTACAGGTATTAGATTTAACGCCGAGACCTGTTGCGTATTAAACACTCAAGAAAATCATAAAGAGCTGTGTGTATCATTTACTGTAAACCCGCAAGAGACATAAATGGAAAAAAAATATTAATACCAATTTGTCTTTCTACAATGAAAACAAAACATTTGACAGTACGGCTGCGCCGATCATCTCTGTCGTGAAAACAACTTTTCCCCACTTTTTGCTCCATTAAAGTACAAATAAATATTACATTTATTTTTCTAAATAATAGTTAATATTTGCTGAGTAACAATTCACGGCACGATTGTGCTTCTTAAATGTGTCGGAGCAAACTCGCTTTGAGAATGAGTTAACGTTTCTTCTAGTGCGATATTTGAGTTAACTCTAGACTTTGTGTTGTGGTAATTCCAACATTTGTTACAGATCTGATACCTCTGATCCAACCTGCAAATATTTCTGATTGATTAGCCACATCTGTGCTTTCAGATTTTACACTAGAAGGCTGGAGAGTCTCTGCCAGCAGCTTGGCTATGAACACCTGAGAAAGAGAATATCTGCTCAGTTTAAAAGACAAGCAGTCTTGTCTAGGAAATCTGTCTAGGAAACGAATGTCCAACACAAGACATCTCCTTGGTCCAAAACTCCTGAATCAAATAGCTTAACTACCATCCCTCCTGAATTCAAGT